GGGCATGCATTGGGGCCTAATTAAACCCTCTTAAAGTAAAAGTATTCACTGACAGGAAGCGCCAAGTGGGACAGAGTAGGGCCGAGTGGGGCCGAGTGGAGCTGATTAGGGCCGGGTGGGGTTGAGAAGGGGTTGGGCATGCATTGGGGCCGAATTAAATCCTCTTAAAGTAGAAGTATTCACTGACAGGAAGCGCCAAGTGGGACGCCGAGTGGGGCTGAGTAGGGCCAGGTGGGGTTGAGAAGGGGTTGGGCATGCATTGGGGCCGAATTAAATCCTCTTAAAGTAGAAGTATTCACTGACAGGAAGCGCCAAGTGGGACAGAGTAGGTTTGCGCACGTGTGCATGTCATGTGCATCAGTCTGCTGACGTGAGCACCGTGTTTATTTTGGACATAGCGCCAGAGACTGGCATGACATGCACGACATGCATCCGTCGGCATGCCATATGAATGCATGCGCAGAGTTCTTAACAACTACGCCTCCGTGCGTCTCTCTTCCCTTTTTCCACCGTCCATCCATCTATCTTTGATTGTCCACACCGCCTACATCCGCCTACATCCCACGTCGTGCCTCCGTACGGCACCGCTACGTACAAGTGCGCACACTTGCATGCCTTCGCATGTTGAATATCAAAGCATGCAAGGTCGAGGGCGAAAGAAGCAGAGACGACGGAAGCAAGGAATGAAAAGGGACACGAAGCAACAAACAAGAAGGAGAAGGCGGAAGCACACTCGCAAAGCAACACGTGAGAGGCCGAGAGCTAACAACAAGAAGAAGATAGCGAGTAACAGAAAAGCCGAGCATGCTTGTCTAGCAACAGGCAGGAACCAAAAACACAAGACACAAGGATCAGAATGTCAAGCAACACAAGAAAAGAAATTACATCGATGAGAGCAGGAAGAAAGAAGTAGACAGCAGGGAGCAAGAGGCGAGAAACATAACGAAGAAAGCAGCAAGTAGAACGTCTCTTCAGAAGGCAAGCTGCAGACCGTCAGGAAGCCAAGACAAGCCGGCAAAAAAGGACAAGGATGTTCCAGAAAATAAGCAAAATGACGATAAAATGGGTTACCTGTCCACAACGCTCGATCTCAAAAGAATGCCTGCTAAAACAGGATGCATGCTTTCCTTCAGGCAATTGCTGCCCGGGAAAATTCGCCACGGCGTCTGGCTTCTTTTTCCCTAAGCTCAACATGGACAAAGTGAGGATGCCATAACGTCTGGAGAATTCCTTGCAAAGTCTGCCTTCATGTGCGCAGCATGGGAGACCCGACCATCAGGAGGGTTTGGAGGCAGTAGGCAAAAATGCGGTAGATGATATTGAAACTTTAGACATGCCTCTATCACGCCAAGACAAATGGAAGGCGAGGGCAAAAGGCGTGGTCTTCAACTAACCGAAGCGTTTTGCAGCATCTGTTCCGCTATGCACAAGCTTGGAAGCACTTGGCACGTCTAGTTGCTGCGCGATCCGGCTTTGCACGGTGCTGTGCGCTTGCACGAGGTCGGTTGATCCTTTTGTGGCTTTCCCTATGGTGCCATGGATCTGCTTAATTCACTCATTTTCGGGCCAAGAAGCAAGAGGAGCAAGAGTCATCTCCAGCCGAGGCAAATCTTTTGATCTCGAAGGGTTTCAAGGCGAACACGATCTGAATGCCTCAGAGAAACGAAGGGATGCGAGTGGTTTGAAGATCGTTTGAAGAACAGAGCAGGTGGTCCGGGAAACAGATGATGCCCTGCAGAAGAGGTGCTTCTGCCATGTTGACAGCTGCAGCCTTCCTAGCATACCCAGATACAAGTTGCAGGTCCGCTATTGCTCCCCTCACTTTGGCTGCCCCTGTCTTATCGTCTCCACAGTGCATACATCACTTGATACACTATTTCTAGAGCAGTTCAGGTTCGAAGTCAAACGAAAGAGGACCGGCAGTTTCCGTTTGTCATCATGATGGCATCCGCTCTGCGCAGCTAACACTAGCAGAGCTGGCAGGACGTTCTGGCCAGCCTTGAGCATTCAACAGGTGCGTCTCTGTAGTGGCACTGACGAGGGACTTGGGTTCTTTATGTCGAACTGTGGCAGCACACCCAGGCACTTCTGGCGGCAGGAGCAAGCTTTGACGGCACTTTATGATGGTTGCTTCAACATCCACCGAGGCTGTGGCGAAGAACAATTTTGTGCTTGCATGGATGTACTGTACCGTCTCGAACCCGCCATGGTGATTTGTTCTAGGCCGGCCTCCCAGCCCGCAGAAGCAAATATTTGTAGAGTTGTCGCATGTCACTCGCTTCCTGAGAGCCATCCGGAGATCATTTGCTTTGAGAAACGAAACAGGCAGATGCTGAAGATACAGGATCACAAAGCATGCAAAAGAGGAAGCTGGACGCGATAGGAACATTGTCCACGCACCACCCGGCTCTCTCGAGTGCGGCATCGAAAGCAGCTGTGGCTTGCATCGCTGCTTAGCTGCTTATTTGCCCAACTGTTTGTGCGACCGTTCGGCGATGTCCTGAGGACCCAGCACCGGCACTGCAAAAGTCAAAAGATGTAACGCATATATGGTGTAATATAGTGCAAGCTCGCAGCATTGGTTTGGCCGTTGGCTTCGGCCTCGCAGAGCATGTTGAAGAATTTCAGAATCTGGCTCAAGACAACACTTGCACTTGGAGCCGGAAGCCTCTGGCCACCTGTCGAGGCTTGGCTGCCCAGTCTTGCAACTTTTGCTCAACAGGAGCCATATCCAAAGGCCAACAGGTGAACGCTGTGATTTCAGCTCGTATTGCACACCGGTTTCTGCTTGTTTCAGCATGTTGAGAAAGGAGTTCGCCAGGTTGGATTGGCCACTCATGCTAGGCAGATGGGTTTCGAGGAATAGGCTTGTTTAGAAGTTACTTGCGGTCTTGGAAAGTTCAGACTACTCATACCTGCCATACCCAGTCGCCCAGTCCATATCTGAACAGCATTTGCAGGCCGCCCAGGCTAGGGCCGCGGGTGTCCATTCTAGTATGGAGTTGCAGCAGCAGTGGTCACATGACAACAAAAATGGCACAGCCAGGCCCAACCGCGACCTGGAAGAAGAACACAAACAACCTAGAGCCACAGACAAATTTGCCAATGTGCTCCCCAGAAACTGCTGGCTCCTTAAATGGCTCTTATGCACGGGTGCACCTTGTTTGATTTCGGACACTATGCTGAATCTGGCCTGTGACACCTCTGCTAAGATCACACCTGCCAGGCCATGAGCTACAGCAGAGGAGTCTTAATGTACAACTTCAACGAGGAGCAGATGGGCTTGCTTCGCGTACTGTGTGTTGCACGACGCCAGCGGCTCCAGGACCGCTTTGGCGAGGATCTCCAGAACAAGCCGAAGCTCCTCGACCCAATTTATGGCTTTCGGCAGAGCCTCGATTCCAAAATGCCCCTCCCAAACCAGCCATGATTCGAGCCTGCAGGGTTGAGGATGCGCCCAAGATGAGCGTTTCTCACACTGTCCACAACTGGCTGGAGCCTCACGGATAGTAGCCTCCGCCTCCATGGGTTGTTTCAGGGGTATACTGGCTTCATGCTCATGCATGCCTTCGTCAGGAAAACTCCTTCTGCCGGCAAAGTGTGCAGCTGATTTGAAGCATGATCTGGATCTTGGCTTTCCTTGAAGTTTGCACCGACAGTTGGCTCAGGCCGAGAATCCTTCCCCTGGTTTGGATAGGCGGGAGAACAGCTTTCAAGTTGTTTGAGTCGGCAATGTTCTGGTTCGTATATCGGAAGAAAGTTTCTCCTTAGCATCAAGAAGGGGAACGGGAATCCGCAGACACGCTTCTGCGCACCCTGCGCCGATGACCTTTTGTATTGTGACTCTTCCTGCCCAACCTCCCTCACGCAAGCCGTTCAGTGTGGATTGGCACAAGGGGGCCGAGCCAGAACCCAAATCTACACCGAACACAGTTACAATCCCCATCTTGCAGTTCGCGCCTAAATCCCCGCACAATGCCAGCAACAAGAAATCCGGAGTTTAACCCAGACTCCTCCACGCCCCAACTTTCAGCGCATTCAATCCACCCAAATCACCGGCCACAGAGGGCAGAACCCTGCGGGTGTTCTCCCAACCTACCCCTCCTCGAATCGAAGGCCTTGACCGGCCCTGTATAACCTCATAAAGACGCCCCATGCAGTTCCTACAGCAGCCGTACAACATGATTGAAATTTATGTACTTTGTGAAACCTCTACATCGGTCTCTCTCTCTCTCTCTCTCTGTCTCCCTTCTTCGCTCCCCGCACTTTCTTTCGGTGGATATGGAAGAAAGAGTAGCGGTAGCCTCCTCCAACGCTTCAGCCCGCATGATGAATTAGTTTGAATTGAGTGGCATTGTGTGCATTTTGGACTTGCGATACCATGTGAATGTACAATGATGTACAGGGACGATGCTGGAGCGGCCCAGGTAAAGCTGCGCTGCGTAGCCATCTATCGGAGTGCTGACCGACAGAAGCATAGGAATTGCCTCAGCAACCCTACGTCTGGGTGTTCGAATGGAAACTGTGAAGTTCTGAATCACCAGCTGTTAGGGCACAGACAGCTTCGGGAATACCGAAGACCAGCTCCGAACGAGCCGATTTGAAAAGCAACGAGCGTGCAGCCACGAGGGGAGTTCGGGTCAGAGGCCAGATTCCCCTATAGTAGAATCTTCGGTATATGCACTAATCAGGCATGCACTTGCACTCGCTCCTTTCGTGTCTCGTGCCAGGAATTGTTGTTGTTGTTCGTGCGGACTCTCAGCACCTGAACTTTTGCAGCCTACTTGATCGCTGGTGCGGACGGTGTGGTAGCATCCCCCTCCGTGCCGCGCTCCTCACCACACCGGCCGTGGCCAACTGTCGAGAGCGCTGTCGGTGCGATGCTGGGACGGTCTCCCTGCTGGTAGCCACATCTTTGTCGAGCTCAGGTTCCCAGTTTGGCCCGACAGGCTTTCGGGTGGATTCCCGTTTATGCGTCTTCCTTTTCGTTGGGCTGGGTGGTGGTCAAGATGAGCCAGGCAAGATCTGTAAGGTCTGGTTGGGCACATTGAATGCTGCCACAGCGCCTGGTCATGTCACACATGCAGCCAACATCGTTACTTGGCCGAACTCTGCATGCTTCGTGGCATCGCAGAGTCAACAATCAAGAAGACCAGAGCCGTTCTTGTGTGTTCTTGTGGCGAGGGCTCACGATCGGTGAAAGTTGGAAGTGCAGGCAACATGTCAAGTTCATCAAGCCCTGATGTTGGAGTAGCATCAACATGAAAGTCCGACATTGTACTTGTCTTTTCGCTTCCCCGAGCCAAAGCCAAACCTGCCCAGCCGGGTTGAAGGCAAAATCCATCTGCATCACCGAACCAAGCCCAAGCCCCACATCCTTGGGATAAGGCGGAGATTAAAGCCCACTCGCATCCACAGAGCAAGTGGCAAATCGCCAACGGCAAAATGGGCACGCACAGCCGGGAAATGGCATCCTTAACCTTTGTGAGCGGGCCGGGGCATATCCGAGTTGAAAGATCACGGCCTCACATGATCGATTCGAGCGTCCAGCTTGAGCTTGCAGGCATGTTCTGTTCGGGCATACTGGCGACATGCGAGATCCGCCCGACCCTTTGCCACCTGCATGTTAACATGCCTTGTGCGCCTCATCTAAGGCATACGAACCTGCAGAAGGTAGACTTCATGACTACGAACCAGTATTTCCAGCAGGAATCGATCCACTAGCAAGGTCGTCCTTTATGTCAGATCCATGAGATAAAGAGTGTTGACCCTCTAGGAGTTTGCCAAAGCGCGTCGATAAGACGGTCCCGACTTCTGACCCGCTACTGTTCGGGCCTTGGGGAAGAGACAAGACTGTACGGACCGAACCGCGCTTTGTCGTGCTTTGTCGTGTCAGCAGCCACGCTGACGGAAGTGCCTTGCGAACTTTTCGAAGTCACATGGATGCGGCATTGAACCAGCACAGCGCCACAAGGCTCTGTGAGTTCATTCTACAGGGACCAATGGAGATTCGAGTGAGTCTTGTTGAGCCTGAGGTGGCCACTGGAAAGCGATGAACCGCAAAGGCTGGAGGAGTGCTGCCCCGAAGGACGGTGCGCATGTTGGTGAAAACTACGAGGCTTCTCGGGGGAACGATTCTGAGGGTCGTGTGTCTTTGGTGCTTGTGCTGCTGCTGCTGCTGCTGCTGCTGCTGCTTTTGGTGCTGCTGGTGGTGTTGGTGGTTGTCCTGGTGGTCTCGTGGTTGTCGGAGTCGTCGTGCTGGTCACGGTAGTCGTGATCCTCCTGCTCCTACGGTGGTCGTGGTAGACTTGGTGGTCGTCGGTGTTGCTGTCTTCGGAGTGGGTTTACGCTGGCAGTGTGTGTGCATTGATATGTGTAGTCTGGATACATCGGAGTAGGTAAGAACACATATGACTTGTTTTGCATCTGTTTGTATGTATGTCTGGCTGGCTACATGCAGATATGCATGGATGGACCAAACTAGATATGGAGCGTTGTGGGTCTGTGTATATGGTTGGTACATGTACATGTCGTTTTGAGAGTGTGTACAAATTGAACATACAGTGACATGCGTGCATCAATGTTGGCATGCATCGTCATGCCAACAGGACAGATTGCTGGTCATCCGCTTTGCCAGCAGCATTTCATTATCTTCTAGACAGCTGATGTTTCACGGAGTGCAAGCTGAGTCTCACTGGACGAATGACCAGCTCTGCCCAAGCGACACTGCTGGAAACCAGGCAAAAGGAGTGCATATAATGCTGCTTCCGAGACCGGACTCATTTCCCCAGGCTACATCGCTAATTTGGGACGGCGTGGCAAAGCTTTCCAATTGAGCATCACTGCAAGATCACTGCGTGACTGTTGCTTGATGTCCACGGCTTGTTTGGGCCTTTATGCATGGTGTTGGTGAGTGGGGTCGTGGAGCAACATGGGAACGGAAAGTGTTGTGACTAATTCTGAAGGTTTACAGGGGATATCCAAAGTCCAGACACACAGGGGAGACGACGGCGGGTGCAGGTAAAAGGGGGCAAGGGTCCGGAAGGTGGACTATAACGTAGAAGGTTAACAAGACATGAAGCCGAAGTACGGTGGCACCAGACAGCACTGACATTCGCGCGAACGGTCGCCCAACTCGAACACTGCAGTTGTTGGCCTGGCTTTGCTGGAAGATGTCCGAGAACATAACTGCATTCATTCTCCACGACAGACACTATGCGCGTATGCCAGTCAATCCATCTGCAGTACGGCTCTTCATGCAGCTCTTTACAAAGGATGCCTAATGAGGCCCATGAAATACTTCAGAAGCCAGTGCCGTTGATGGCGAGTTCTACACGGCAGCATGAACAGCCTTGACTTCGAGTCAGAGGACTTGCCTTCCAATCGTTTTAGTCGTCACAGCATTCCGTGCGTTCCCCACGTCTGAGAAGACTTCGCATGACTCAACACGGCTGTTGACTTTAGGAATCGTCGTCGCAGCAACACGAGGCCTTTCGTTTCGGCACAAGCAGAGCAGGCAGCCAACAAGTTCGGATTGCTGACAGGCTTCGGGCTGGCGGCGCCTGCCGACGGCATGGTTCCACATGCTGTGTGCAAGATGCCCAGGTGTTTCTGACAATTTCACTATGACATTGCATCTGGTGATAGCCTCGGCAACAAGGTCGAGTGCATCCACATCTATCTGGCAGTCTTCGCTTGGTTCAGACTTGACCCTCGAACCAACAGGCTTTTGTGTGTCGGCGTACATGTACTTCTCAAGCGGCACGGAGGTAGCAAACGTCAACTTGCGCACAGCCATGGGCGCTCACTTTCATCTCCAGGATCACCTGGAAGGTCGCAGCTGCGAAGAGTTTTTCCTTGCCGTCATGCAAACATGCCGGTAGCCTGTTGATGCACATCTCTAGCTGCAAGCCAGTGTTGCGAAGCCGAGATGGCAACGACAAGCTCCATGAATTGACAGGCTACTTCTACAACCTCTTCTTGTTTGGCTCTACTACATCAACATCACTGCATCTGTCCAATGTCACTGATACGTTCTTCCTTGGTCCGGGGCCCAGACAGAGGCTGCGAAAAGGGCATCGAGTCGAGCTAAAGAATCAGAATCAGTGAGAAGATGATCATTGTTTAGGCCAAGAGCAACGGGAGCAGCCGATCTCCAGCTGCATTTCAAGCGCTGGGGTCTGACTTCGTCGTTTCGCTTGTTTGCACATCTACGTACAGCCGGATACTAACCTAACCATCAGCCTTTCACATGGCAGCCCTACTTGCCGCCTCTCATGCTCTTGTTTTGTGCCTGCACCCACATGCACGGTGTAGCCACGCCACGCCCCAAGTTCGAGCATTGCACTATCAAAGGCTGCACTGAAAACACGGTGACAGGTCGGCATTGCTTGCAGGATAACTTCATACTGGTAGCACCCCGCATGGCTCATCATACGCTGAGAACAACTAGATCACGGCCGTATCTGCGGCCAGGTCGACAAAAGTATGATGCCGGATACGTGAAGTGTACTGCATCTTCCGGCTTACTGGCATCATCAGTCATCTCTCACACGTACATCTTTGGGACCTTCCGAGACATTTTGACTGAAGTGGTCGTGTCAGAACAAGGCTCAAAGATGAAACTGAGGACTGTCTTCTACAATGGCTCCATGCTCACACTTCCCTCCACCAGCATTGACGGTGCCAACATCCCATGGATTGTCCTGGTGCGCCGAAGCAGAGCACTGTCACCTAGACGACATGCTGAAGTGACTAGCAGCTAGCAATGTGGAAAGTGCCGAAATCCGTTGCGCCCACCCGGCTTTAAAAATATGGTTTGTTCTCCATCACCCGTGACCTCGCAAGACGCATCGACGACGCCATGCCGTGGAATGCATTTGCTGGACACATGCTGTTGCATCGCTGCTCCAAGATTGCTTCATGAACAAACTGCTAGGTTTGGTTGCTGCCGTTGGGCGCTGCTTTCTTGATCATTCTTCATTTGGTCCTGCTCGCCCGACGACGACTTTTGGCAGAAGAAACGTGCCTTATGCATGGATCCACCGGGCGAGCGTAGCAGCGATTACTGCACTCAGAGGTCACTGCAAGTGAGGTGTCTGGAGCTTCGACTGTGGCGAGACTCGATTGAACATTACAGTGTGCATGGGAGCCTTGTACGGATGCCTTTCGCGAGCATGTGCACGCGAACATGTGCGTGTGCGTGTGCGTGTGCGTGTGCGTGTGCGTGTGCGTGTGGGTGGGTGGGTGGGTGGGTGGGTGGGTGGGTGTCTGGGTGTGTCTGGGTGTGTCTGGGTGTGTCTGTGTGTGTCTGTGTGTGTCTGTGTGTGTCTGTGTGTGTCTGTTTGTGTCTGT